TCTACAATCAAAAGGAAAACACAGGCTTCAGACCAAGAGAAGGTATCTCTAATGAATGTAACCTGCAAAAGTTTAATATCTAGACTATATCTAGAACTTCTATGAATCATTAAAACAGGGCAATCTAATAGAAAAATAGACAGAAAATATTGTTGTTGGAAACACTTAATTTGGTTCATTCAGCATCAGTTTCAACCTCCTTCTATTAGGTCTTGCTATTATACTGAAGTTGGAGAGCCAGAAACCAGCTGCCCAAACTCTCTGGGATGTATTTTCAGCCCCACCAATCAGATGTTCTCGTGTAAAACTGGAATTTAGAACTAAGCTAAGTAGGAAGAAAGGTGGTGCTTGAGGTATCCACTTAACAAGGCAGATACTGAATTGGTCTGAAGTCAACAGTTCCAGCAAGAGATTTTGGCTAAAGCTGTGGAATCCTGAAGCAAGCATCTGGGACAGCATCTTCCCAGTTCTGCAGTTTGCTGATTGTTGCAGAGGGTAGCAGCTCGAGAGGGCCATTCCTTCAGTATTGCCCAGGACTCCCTCCTAGAACCCATGCTGCGGGCCTGCAGCTCCAGCCCTCCAATGATTTAGTAAGTACTTAATACCCTCTTTTAAATCTCCTTCTGCTTAAGATACAATGATTCGTGTTTTCTCCAACTAAACCCCGGCTAATACAAATATAAACAGGTAATGGTAATTCACAAAAGATGACATTTTAATGGCTACTACACAAATGAAAAGATGATCAACTCACCAAAAAAGGCAAATGTGAGCAATTAAAGCCACAATGAGATGCCACTTTATGCCCATCAGTTTTGTCCACATAAACACAAGGAATGTGGACAAGAATGTTCACAGCAGCACTGTTAGTAGTAACAGGAAATTAGCAATAGTCTAGATATCCATTAACAGGAGAGTGGATAAATAACTGTAGTATAATCACACAATTATACTACTAATACCAATGGATTTCTGAAGAGTGAAAATGAATGAACTATATATTCACGTATCAACATGGATATCCCAACAAATATTGTAAAGGCAGGAAAAAAGAAAGTCTCAGAAGGGTACATGATACTATTTTTTAAAGTTTAAAATATATAAAACAGGCTGGGTGTGGTGGCTCAGGCCTGTAATCCTTGCACTCTGGGAAGCCCAGGCGGGAGTA